GTTCACATCCATATGGGATGCCAGTCCTGCAGGCTGGGGCTTTAAACCGCTTAAACCCACTGAGCCACAGCACCAGCCCCAGCAGTACTTTCAAATATAGCTCAGAAACCAAGAAACCAAGAATTAACTTTGGTAAGTCATTCACTATAACTAATCCACACTTAGGGTCCTAATGTATTAAATAAGACAAAAATGTGTTGATAATTTTATGTGCATAGTACTAAGTGCTTTGTTTATATTAATGCATTTAATACACACAACTCTACCAGGTAGGTATCGTTTTATTATTCCTACTTTACAGATCTGGAAATTGAGGCACAAGTAACTTTTTTTTTTTTTTGACAGGCAGAGTGGACAGTGAGAGAGACAGAGAGAAAGGTCTTCCTTCTGTTGGTTCATCCCCTAAATGGCTGCCAAGGCCGGCGCGCTGCGCAGATCCGAAGCTAGAAGCCAGGTGCTTCCTCCTGGTCTCCCATGGGGTGCAGGGCCCAAGCACTTGGGCCATCCTCCACTGCCTTCCCGGGCCACAGCAGAGAGCTGGCCTGGAAGAGGAGCAACTGGGACAGAATCTGGCACCCCGACCGGGACTAGAACCCGGGGTGCCGACGCCACAGGCAGAGGATTAGCCTATTGAGCTGCAGCGCCGGTCTACAGTACTATTTTTAACATCTTTCTCCCATAAAAAAAAAAAAAAACTGAGATACAAGTTACTTGCTCAGTTAAACAACTATTGTGGTATTAAGATCCAGGGGTTGGTATTGACAAACCATGGTTTAAGAAACCTCCTGCAATGCTGGCATCCCACATGAGCAAAGGTCTGAGTCCTGGTTGCTCTGCTTCCAATTGCTGCAGCCATTTGGGGAGTGCACCACAGGATGAAAGATCTCTAGCTTTCAAATAAATAAATCTTAAATATATTTATTAAGAATATGTTATTAAATATATATATTTATTAAGAACTCAAGCTGCAGGTATCAAACTTAAAGAAAAGTTTGCAAGAGTCAAAAGTTCATGAAGTTCTTAAGGAGATCGGAGAATGATAGGAATAGACAGTCACCTCTCCATACCCACGGGATGGGGTAGGGGGTGGGGTGGGTCAGTTCCAAAACCCCCAGGGATACCAAAATCCATGGATGTTCAACTCCCTTATATCAAAGAACCTAATGCTTGCTTATTACCTACATACATCCTCCCTATAGTTCAAATTGTGTTGATATTACTTGTAATACCTAAAGCAATGTAAATCCTAAGTAACTATTATACTATACAAGGGATCTTCAAAATACCCATGGGAGGGGCCGGCATAGTGGGCAAAGCCGTCGTCTATGATGCCAGCCTCCCATATGGGTACTGGTTCACGTCCAGGCTGATCCACTTCCGGTTCAGCTCCCCACTAAAGAGGTTGGGAAAGCAGTAGAGGATGGCCCAAGTGCTTGGGCCCCTGCCACCCACGTGTGTGATCCAGATGGAGTTCCAGGCTCCTAGCTTTGGCCTGGTCCAGTCCTGGCCATTGTGGCCATCTGGGGAGTGACCCAGCGGATGAAGATCTCTGTTTCAGTCTCTGCCTCAAGTCTTTTAAATAAATAACAATTTTTTAAAAGTTTATGGGAAGTTCACATTAAAAAAATAACATGTGAGAATTTCAATTTTTTCTTTTTTGCACCAAAATAAATTTATCTTTTTAATTCCATCTGCCCGTGGACTTTTTTAAGCACCCTCACATTGTTTAGGGCATAATGACACACAAAAAAAGTTGTATGTATTCAGTAGAGATGCATGTTTTTCAAATATTTTCAGTCTGCAGTTGTTTGAGTCTGCGGATGTGGAATCCACAGACAGAGGGCCAGCTGTCCTTTGTACCTCAAAGTGCAAACACAGATATCAGCAATGTGGTTGTCTCTAGTTGGCCCAATTCTCCAATCAGACATCAGCGAACATACCAGGCTCCTGGCAAAACTAAGATGCCTATAGTGAAGGCAAAATGAATGCAGAGGGAGCGGAGCCCAGCTGCCACTCAGCAAGGCTCTTGGTCCCTGGGTTTACTTGCAGTATGATCAGGGCACTTGGCCTTCATGCCCAAGGTACTTTCTCATCTAATACTTGTGATTCTGGGACTCTGTGGAAGAGTCAAGTTAGCATTTATCTATGATTTTCCTGTCACATGCACAAAGGCCAGAGAGGAGGCCAGGGGCGTTCTGCACGCTATGCCTGTCCGTCCTAAATTCAAGAGAAGCCAGCTCTCAAAGCTAAGAACTAAGAATCAACTCTTTCTTGGTCCCTATAGCCCAGCTTATCCCCTTTACAGAGCTCCTGCCTCAAGCATAGACAGGCACGGCTGAGGGCTCACCCATGATGCTCACCCATCTGTGACCTATTCTCACCTCCTTGCCAGTCTCTTCCCCAGGGCCAATGACCCACAGCCTCGTCCTCTGCATCAGCGGGGCTGCTCTTCTGTCATTTTTGTGCCCCCACACTTCACATTCAGCCTGCACTTGCACACAGCAGGTGCTCAGAGGCATCACTGATTGCATGGCCCAATTACAAATTTCAGTCTGTGCTATTTATTTTCTGTTCCACCTGGGCCATTACCTCAAAACTCTCAGGACTGATAGTTCTTCATGTACAAAGTAAAGATCATCAGCTTCTTTGATCTGACCAGCCATGTTCTGAAGTTCTGATGGAAGGAAAGTAAATGCCATAGAAGGGTTGGAACAGGCAGGCCACCTGGGTTCTTCCCAGGTGACACTGGTGCTGCTGGGTCAACAGGAACCACAGAAAGGAACCCCTCTGTGGAAATCAGGTCAGGTCCTTGACCTTTGGGCAAGGCTGTACCCAAAATGAACAGAGAAAGCCAGCATTAGCCCTTGATCAAAGAGTTCCAGCAAACCTTTAAAGTCAATGTTATGAGTTTTTCCGGCTAGGTGACTGACAATGGGGAAACCTCCCTGCGATCTGCCCCAATTCCCTCCCCTCACCTCCAGTCCTCAGGGGAGGCCGGAACACCTGTTGGTGGCCAGCGGCCTGCATCATGAACCTGGTATTTTACAGCCCAGGAAATGGGCTTGGGCCAGGGACAACTATAGTCCATGTTTAAAACAAAATTAATATCTTATTTATTTGAGAGATAGAGTTACAGACAGAGAGAGGGAGAGACAGAGAGAGAGGTCTTCCATCCGCTGGTTTACTCCCCAGATGGCCGCATTGCTGGAGCTGAGCAGATCCAGAGGTAAGAGCCAGGAGCTTCTTCTGGGTCTCCCAGGCTGGTGCAGCAGCCCAAAGACTTGGGACATCTTCCACTGCTTTCCCACCCATAAGCAGAGAGCTAGATTGGACAAGGAGCAGTTGGGACTAGAACCGGCCCCCATATGGGATGCCGGCACCTCAGGCAGAGGCTTAGCCTACTGCTCCTCAGTGCAGGGCCCCTCCACTTGTTCTTTATTTGGAAATCTAGGTGACCACTGAATAAATGCCCCAAGTATCCACGTTTTAATATCAGAGACAAAATGATACACAAACTTGGAATTCTTGGTAGATGAAGCTTACCAGGGCCACTGACGTCCCTCAGATTCGTGGGACAAGTCTGTCTCACTTGGCCTTAATCGTTTTACACTGGAAAGGTTCTAGCATTTTTACCTGTCCTCATGGGAAAATCAGATTATGTGCAAAATCACTAAATGACCCTTCTCATGGTACTTCTGAGTTCCATTTCACTTTTCTAGGCTCATAATTAGATTTCCTATCAAGATTGAATGTGTCGTTACTTTCCAACAGTGAATACTGTTATTTCTTTTAAAGAGGCACTAAAAACAGTGTATCTGGGTTTATATTTTCCTCTACAGACTCCAGTTCTGCTGCCCATATACAACATAACTGCTTTTTTTCTGCATGGAGAATAGCAGCTATGTGGCCAAAAGAACCTTCTTCGTTCAGAACTCGGCTCTGTCTTTACCTTGACAAAGGAGTGAATTAATAAGGTTGCATCAGTTGAGCAGAGCAGGAGGAGATAATGAAGACATCTGTGTGCTCTCTTCCGTGCCCGGAAGAAGCTTCACGCCTTTACCTCTCCCTCCTCCTCTCCTCCGTCAGCCTAAACTCTGAGACAAGAACTCCTCCTGTGCCAGGTGCTTAATCCCAGGAGGAGCCACAACTTCTCTTGCAACACCAAAGGTGCTGGCGTCTTGAACCTGAGAAAGTCTTCAGGGGCAGGCATCTGGCCTAGCAGTTAAGACACAGCTTCTGATGCCCATGTTGGGGGCCAGCAATGTGGTGCAGTGGGCGAAGCTGCCGCTTGTGACCCATATCAGAGTGCTGGTTCAAGTTCTAGCTAGCTATTCTGCTTCCAATTCAGCTTCCTGCTAATCCCCCCTGGGAAGGCAGCAGAGAATGACCCAAGTGCATGGGCCCCTGCCAAACCATGTGGCAGTTCTTGACTCCTGGCTTTAGCTGTTTACTTTGGTATAAAACAATGTTGAAATTGTATCTATGGGGGACAGTGCTGTAGCATAGTAGGTTAGGCTTCCGCCTGCTGCACCAGTGCCCATGGGAGCTGGTTTGAGTCTCGATTGCTCCACTTCTGATCCAGTTCCTGGCTGATGGCCTGGAAAAGAAGTAGAAGATGGCCCAAGTCCTTGGGCCCCTGCAACCGCGTGGGAGACCTGGATGAAGCTCCAGGTTCCTGGCTTTGGATCAGCCCAGCCCTAGCCATTATGGCCTTTTGGGGAGTGAACCAGCAGATGGAAGACTTTTCTCTCTGTCTCTCCCTCTGTCTGCAACTCTGCCAGTCCAATAAAGAAATAAATAAAAGAAATTGTATCTATGAGAGGGTCTTCAAAAAGTTCATGGGCAATGTATATTATTAAAAACCTATGCATGGATTTCAGAAATTTTTGTAGCAAAATAAAACTTATCTTTTAATTCCCTCTTTCTAGGAAATTTCTGAAGAACCCTCATATATTCAAGCTCTGTACAAATATTATAGCACATTTACGTAAAGAACTGACCTCAGTGTAAGAGGGTTCACTATCACGTAGAACAAATCAACACAATGCATTGAAGAAGAAATGGCTTCATATAAAACAAGGCAGTGGGCAGCACACTGTGAAGGGCCAGGGAATAATCCAGGCCTTGAGGGCTGTGTACCTCAAGGTACTTGAGGGCTGTCGTAATGACCCGAGGCTGCTGTTACAGCGCAAGAGCAGTCATTCTGTGAAAAAACAAGCAGAGCAAGTGAGCATGAGCATACATGAAAAAATGGACATGGTTGATTTCCAACACGACTTGCTTTACAAAACCAGGCAGCAAACAGGATCTGACCTCTGGGCATCAGTTTGCCAAACCCTGAACACAGAGGAAACCCCTGCAGCTAGGTAGAAATACTTCAGCACTCTTCTTGTCACCCTCATTTGCCACCGCTACAGGAGTGCATACCCACAACTATGTCATCACTACACTAGAAGCACTGTGAGGAAGGAAAATTTGTTATGTTTACAGCTGTATTCCCAGCACCTAGCAGAATGGCCGGCATACAGCTGGCACAAATGGGTGCTCAAAATAATGGTGCATTGAACCCACGGATCTATAAAGGGTAATCCTGATTAGAGGTGGTTCTCTTACACAACCAAGTCTACCCTTGCTGCCATTCCATCACACCTCTCCCCTTTGTAAAACTGAACAGCTATTTTGGGATTAAGGTTCAAAAAGCATGTGTCCAGGGACCAGCGCTGTGGCGAATTAGGCCTCTCCCTGCAGTGCCGGCATCCCATATGGGCACTGGTTTGTGTCTGACTGCTCCTCTTCTGATTCAGCTCTCACCTAACAGCCTGGGAAAGCAGTGGAAGATGGCCCAGGTGTTTAGGTCCCTGAATCCACATGGGAGACCAGAAAGAAGCTCCTGGCATCTGGCACCTGGCTTCAGGTCGGCCCAGCTCTGGCTGCTGTGGCCATTTGGGGAAGTAAACCAGCATCTCTGTCTCTCTCCCTCTGTATCTGTAACTTTCCTCTTAAATAAATAAATCTTTAAAAAAAAAGGCATGTGTCCTAAAAAGTTTTACACTAATTTAGAAAAACATTTGCTTTCCAAAGCTAACATGACAACATGTATATCTTATTTTTTTCTTTCTTAGCTTTATTTTAAATCATTCTCTAATAAACTCACTTAAAAAACAAAGGTAGTATATAGCAGAACAAAACTGTTAATAATTATTTTCTGAGAAGGACAAATTTATGTAGACAGTTAACTTTCATCACATTGTCAAATACAGTTAGGCCGCCCTATTTGTGGGTTCTACATTAGTGGACTTAACTAACCAGCGGCCAAAGATATTTAGAAAAAAAAGTTGTGTCTGTTCTGAAAATGTGTAGCCTTTTCTTCTCCCTGCTTTTTTCCTAAACAATGCAGTGTCATAACTATTTACATTGTATTAAGTAGTATAAGCAATCTAAAGATGACTTAAAGTACACAGGAAGCAGCAGGCACTTGGAACAGTGTTTAAAATACTGCTTGGGATGCCCACATCCCCTACTGGGGTTCCAGCTTACTACTCACACACATGCTGGGAGGCCACAGGTGGCGGCTCAAATAGTTGGGTCCTTGCCACCCACATGGCAGACCCAGACTGAGTTCTCAGCTCCTGGTTTTGTCCTGGCCCCTTCCCAGCTGCTATGGGCATTGGAGGAGTGAAGCAGTAGGTGGCAGCTCTGTCTGCTTATCTCTTTTTCTTTCTCTCTGCCTCTCTAACAAATAAATAGATAAGAAAAAAATTAACATAGGAAGATATGCACAGGTTATATAAAAATACTACATCATTTTACACAAGAGACTTGAGCATCCACAGATTTTTGTATCCACATGTTGTGTGGGGGTGTCTGGGAACCAATTCCATGTCTGCAGTACTGAGAGATGGCTGCATGCAATTGGACATTCACCATAATACTTTGTCTTTTTGGCTCTGGGGCATTCTCTTCGAATGGCCACGAGGGCAGTCACATGTTATCAGCACTTTATCACAGGTCACGTTATACATATGGAAGGTAAAAAAATGACTCACACTGGTATGACTTCAAAAGTGTGTGGTTCTCGGTGCCATTTCTGTACATTTATCAAGGGGCTACCAAGAGTCCTCAGTGTAGTGGGAAATCTATCAAATGAAGTGTGATGCACCACTGTGACCTTTTCATTTAAAAAAAAAAATGGGTTAGGATGACAATTATCTTCTGGGAACCACAAGTTCAAGCAGATAAGTAACTTTCATGGCATTGTCATGTACACAAGTGGGTGTTATACCATTTTACTTTATTTTTTTGATTCTGGGAAATTACCTTTTATGGTAGCCCCAAGGACTACCAAAATCTAGGGAAAAATTAAAGATAATATTTAACTGAATGCTAATTAGACCCCATTGAGGAAGCTTCACTTCATTCTAGAGGATTAGAATTTTTTTTTCTCTGTATGGGGACTTAATAATCACACAACGTCTGCACTTTATAGATAAGCTCACAGGACCACCTAATCAGAACAAAATCCTTGTTATCTGCAGAGTGGCATATTTCAAAAAAAAGTATGAGTATTAGTAAAGCTATATCAAACTCTCCCCATTTCCTCCTTGGAGAAGGTACATCAGTATTTGGCTAATTCTGAACCCACATATTAAAACAAAAAACAAGTAGAACTCTGAAAATTTCTTCAATCTTGGCCACAACTTCTCAAGTCAACATACACAGGGTGTGATTCCAGCCTGCCCAGGTGAGAAGCACCAACAGGACCCTTCCTAGGAAGGTATCAACTTTCAAAGTGCAGTGAGTCACATGGCAACTTCCCTGGAAGGAAAGCAAAAATGGAAGCTTTCTGGTCTTTCTTCAAAGTCTATGAAGTAGTAATTTCCTGACACCAGAGGAGCAGAGAGATGGAGCGTGAATGCCCACACCAACCTCAATCACCATCCCAAGCTGAACAAGAACTGCATCTTGTACTTCTTCCTTGGCTGCTCATCAAGTCACCTCTGATTTTCTTCCTGCCACATTACTTCCCTGGGCATCTGATGCAAGTTGCCCCCAGAAAATGATTTGCTTCACCAAAATCTTTTTAACGAAGGGATTTTTTTTCTAGAACACACGTATTTTGATAAGGAATTTAGAGCTGCATTTCAAAGGCAAACACAAGCATAAACTAGGACACAATTACACTATGACTTTAAAATAGTATGTCTTTAGTTATCCAAGACACACCTCTGTTTGCACATTCTCCCCATCAACTGCAAACATTGAGGTCCACAGATAGATTTCTGATACTCTAGTCACTGGCCTTTTTCAGAATGGTGTGGCCATCAAAGATTGATGAAAGAATCAACAGCTAAGTGACATACTATTCACAGGCTTTTAGATGAACATATACCAAAAGGTCATTAGACACAAAAATTCTGCCAAGAAACCATGAGGCAAGTAGTGCTACATAAATATACACGCTCACATATACCCACAAGCAGAAAAATGCATTTTATAGGGGCTGACATTAATAAAAGGGCTAGGTACCAGTCCAACTCAGCCAGATCGTACAAAAAAATGGAGGAGCTTGCTGCATGAGCAGCAGTGAAAAAAAAAATTTTTTTAAGGCAGTAATGTTCCTGGCAAGGTTCAGATGGAAAAATAGCAACACATCCCAGAAGCAGAGCTGTAGCCAGGAATAACCTAAGCCCAAGCCATCTTAAGTACAGACAGGATAATACTTACTAAAGATTCAATGCATGATTACCCCAGTCTTCCTGGCTGCTAATTTGAACCATGACATGAGGTCTACTACAAGCCAGGTGACAAGTATTTACCAAATGTATACTACATGTTCAGGACTCTACTTGTCACTGGTTGATGGATGACAGTCCATCCACAGTCAAGCATACAGTTACTGAGTCGGTGCTGTGGACCATCTTCACACCACAACCAGCTGGGGCAAGCATTTCCCCTGTCCTACACATGAGAAGATTAACACCAGGAAAATTTTACAAGGCAAGACTAGTAATTAGAATCAGGCACTGACCGCAATTCTGCCTAACTCCAAAGCCCCCAATACCAAATTCCGATGCATAAAATACGGCTTCTGTTCTAAAGAGGCTTAAAATAATGTAAATGAATTAGAGATTGATATAAACAACATAACAAAGATCAAACAAACAAGTATCTCAAGCCTTCAAAGAAAGAGAATGAGTAGTTGGGAAAGATAATTTGAAAGGAGTAGAACTTGAGTTCCTCCTCCAAGGATGGGTACAGGCTGTACTCAGAGTGGAGAGCAGAGAGGGGGGTTTCTAGAGAGAGCATGGACAGTGATGTTGCAGGGGGACCAGGCTGGCCCCCTCAGAAGGACAGCAAGGAGAGCAAAATGTACTGAGCAGCAAAGACATAGGCAGAACCAAAAATAGGATTTAGACAGGGAGGGTGAGGCTCATTATGAAAGGCCTTAGAAAAATCAGACATACTAGTTTAGATTTGAGATAACAGATAATGAAGAGGAACTACAGGTTGCAGGACCAGTTCAGAGATAAAAGGAAGTGATTATTTTAAAAGAGAGGGAAGCTTCTCAATCACTCATTCATTCATTCATTCATTGAGCAAACACTCAGTGAGAGCTTTCCAAGAGCCAGGCTACCTAAGGGCCGTTCTAATACTGCAATAGAGGAAGACTGAGTCCCGGAATAGAATATAGAGAGAAAGCTATATATATATTTATATATAAACCATACACACATATCAAAGGTCTTTATGACTCACTGGTTTAAAGGATGAAGGAAATGAAGGAACAGATGGTTAAAGATCGTTCCAAAGTTTCAAGGCTGACATAACTTCCACCTTCACCAGGAACCTCAGAAAGCAATGAGAACACAACACTGAGAGTATATAAAGGGATTTGATGACTCTGAGCACTCAATAAATAAAACCCCAAGTAGACTGCTCGTTATCCTGGTAGCTGGTTTAGACATAGTCTGTAGAGAAGACACTTTAGTGAGACAAATCAGTTATTTGTGAATTACAGTTGTCCCGCACTTATCCAGGGGGATAACCCTCACGGGAAGCCCAAACCGCTAGTGGTACCAAACTTTACATACACTATGTTTTCTGATGCCTGTGATGAAGTTTGATTTACAAATCAGGCACCATTAAGAGAGTAACAATAATAAAATAGAGCAATTATAACAGGATACCATAGTAAGCTTAAAAAAAAAAAAACTTGTGAATTACATACTCCTGGAATTTTCCAGTTAATATTTTCAGACCACAGTTGATGGAGAGTAACTACAGGCACAGAAAGCAAAACCATGAATAAAGAGGGGGCTACAGCAAATGCTCATTCCCTTTGGCAAGGGTGGCAGAGTTTTGCCTACTCAGGTTCCATCAGTTCTCCAACACACACTTCCATGGCCTGAAATTAGCCCCTCTCTCCACTCAGCTACCAGTTTTGACTTTGGGGCAGGGGACAGAGCCAAGAAAAGGAAAAACAAAGTGGGCAGGGTGGGTCACTGTATAAAAAATCCTCAAACTGCTCTCATTTCCACACCCACTTCCTAGTGTTTTACAAAGCCTGGTCCTCAGACAGGAAGGCCTTAAAGATTCATCAAATTGTACCGCTTTGTTCAGAAGCTATTTCAAATGTGCATATTTATGCATATATTAGCTGCTAGCACAGCCAAGCATATGGTTGAGACACAAATTCTTCTTAATAATGTATGTGTTGACTACACAAATGTAAAGCTCAATCAGATTTTACACTGGGCCATGGTACCATTCACCCAATGGGGCACACTCTGAACCCCCACTAAGAAATGTTAGACATGAAACCTGTGACTATCAAACTTCTAGTACTACAGGGTGCCCCAGGTCAGAATTCAAAACCCCAAGTGCCAATACCTTCCAGAAATTCAGTTCTCTGTGCCGCGTTCTGGGTCCCAACCCTCCGGCTTAGCACAGCTGTAGCAAACAGCAAGTCTTGACTGAGTTCTAAGTGGAAATGGACACTCTTTCCTGCAGAATGATGCGTTCAAACTACCCGACCTACAAGCCCTCAATGTAAGTGTCCAAGACAAACTTTAAAAGGTTGACCAGACAAAAGAAACGACTGTTCTGGAAAATCCTTCGACAGCCTTCTTCATAACATCTACTCAGACCAGGAAGGAGAAAAAAAAAAATCACAACAGAAAGAAATCCAATGAAAAATGGTTGCGAATAAGTATGTGAGGATTCTAGCCCGGATCCTTGTCGGGACACCCACGGGCCTAGCCAGGAAATTCCAGAAGCAAGTACTCCGAATGCCCCTTAAGGGGCTTCACAGAGCCCAGGGCTCCCCTCTGCTGAGAACTGAAAGGTTAGCACCGGCAGAATCCTCCAGACTCCGACGAACGCGAGTTTTCTCGCCAGGAGGCAGAGGAACTACAGCCCATGAGCCTCTTCCTGGCCCTCCGCTCCTCCGAGGGGCCGCCGGGCCCGTCCCTCCCGCAATCCCGGGCCGGCACCCCGAGTGACAGGTCGCCAGGCAGAAGCCCCCAAGTCCCCGAGCCCCACTTACTGGCGCCGCGAACACAGGCGGGGGCCCGCCCCTGCGGTGAGCGCAGCTCGGCGGCGAGTGGGGCGCAGCCGCCCGCTCGGGAACTGGAGATGCGGGCGATCCCTGCTAGGACGGGCCGAGGGTTCGGTGCGGGGACGCCCGGGAGGTCCGGCGAGTGGCCCGGGCCGCGCGGCGCATGGCAGTGCAGCAGGAACCCGGCCGCTCTCCAGCCTCCGGCAGGAAAACAAACAAAAGGCAGGGTGGCTGCCGGTGGGGGACGACCGGCCTCTTTCCCTGGGAAAAGTTACCCTGCAGCTCCCCTCGCTGGCCCTGCGCGGCCCTGCACCGCGGCTGCTTCGCCCGGGCCGCCTCCACCGAGCCGCACGGAGTCGGGGCTGGGGCTGGGGCTGGGGCTGGGGCTGGGGCTGGGGTGGAGGTGGGGGATCCCGGTCGCGCGCTGACCCCGACTCCGACCCTGACCACCAAATGCGTGCTTGGTTACAGCTCGGCTCCACAGCTGTCATGATTCACAGGTGGAAGCTGTCGGAGTGTGTCCCGAGTCCAATTAATTAACTATAATCATGATGAAAAACCACTTTCCTGGTTTTTAGAAACGGGGCTGAGGTACCAGTGTAGACACTCAAAATGGTTACAACGGCAGATTTTGTGTTATCTTTTACCACAGTTGAGGAATGTTTAAAGTAAAAACGCAGCTGATGACCTGTTAGCATTCATTTAGACTTGTAAGTTTTCAGATTGCTTGCAACTGTAGTTTGAAAGAATGGATCCTTAACCGAGTGGACAACTGCCCAGCCACTCTCTGCTCAGCTGTCTTTTTTATGTCACTAGTTATACGAAATGTAACATGGAATTGCATGTCTCAAAACACATTCAGTTCTATCACAAATTACATTGTGGGCACTGCCTTAAATCATCTGACTGTGAAGCACTTGAGAAAGAAGTGGCTTCCAGCCCCCTGATTTAAATTGATGTAACTGCTGTTTAAGCCCTTGTCTCTGAAAGAGTAGCTGGAGGGCTTTGTGAAAACAAATTCTTGGGCTGCATCCCCAGAGGTTTTGGTGCTGATGCCACTGGTCAGGGCACTAATACTCACTAAGTCAGTAATCCCTTAACACACTGTGGTTCCCACTCTAAGTTTAAATTTCCATATCAGTTTTCTCTATATTTTTATTTTCGAATTCTAAGAGCTGAAGATGATATCCCTACATAAAAAGCCTGAATCCCTCTCTCGTGTCTCTTGAAGAAAGCTGCAAGATACAGAATAGTCAAATTTTCTAAAATTTCCTCTCCTAGATTATGAGAAAGGTCAATTTGGCCACTTGGCAAGTAACATTTATAGCATGCGTCTACTTTTATATATACCTATAAAGTGGCCAAGCCATCTGGCAAATGAAAATGGAAAATGTTTATCAGGGAAAATAAAGAAGGAATCTAATAAATCATATACTATCATGAAAAGCTGTATTTTTAATTAAAAATCTTTTAGTTCATTTTTCACTTTTAACTGAAAGTGACAGAGAATGATCTTCAACTGCTGGTTCACTCCCCAAATGGCAACAAAGGCCAGAGCTGTGTCAATACTAAGCCAGGAGCCAGGAGTTTCATCTAGGTCTCCCACGTGGGTGCAGGGGCTCAAACACTTGGGCCATCTTCTACTGCTTCCCCAGACAGTAGCAGCGAGCTGGATCGGAAGGGGAGCAGCCGGGATCCGAACCAGTGCTACAAGTGGAGGCTTAATCTACTATGCTTAACCTACTATGCCACAGCTTTGGCCACTGAAACTATTTCAATATCCATACTTCATTTTCAGAACTGATCTTTGGCCTTCAAGAACATCATTTATCATTTTCTTCTCATAAATTCTTAGATTTAACCCTTTCCCCCAACTTAAATTTCAAAATCCAATTTTACAAAGGTCATAGGGAGGAAAACTCATCCTTACAAAATCTAAATCCTGGAGACTCCTTTAAAATAGAAAAATACCAAATTGTTGGCCTGCATTCAACATGAAGGTACTTTTTTTTTTTTTTTTTTAAATAGGGAGCTGATTAAGATATAAGTAAAAACGCTCTTCAAAGTGTGGCTCCTAAAACCAAACCATGACACTTGGATGTTCTTACTTCACTGTTCTCCCTCTTTTTCCCCCCTTTTTTGCCTTCACTTCTCCGAAGATGTGTAGACTTTCTAACACTTCCAGAATAAAACAATGGATCAGAAATTTAGGTAGTGAGTTTATAGGGTCTTAGAATCCTGATGACAACGAGTATTATTAACTTTAGAAATTCAAAGTTTGTTAAATGAAGGTAAGAGACGATAAAGGCTGTAGGTGTTCACTGAAAATGCAAACTTGTGTAGTTAAAAGGATTTAAAGTGTGGCAGAATTAAATACCGCCTGACAAACAGGAGCGCCTCCACTTAAATGAAATCAGGTGTTTGCACTTTAAAAAGGAGGGGCAAAGCCCCTGTGTAAGTTCCGGCGCTCAACACGCAACGGCGAACTACACATCCCAGAGTGCCCCGCGAGCGCCGTCTCCGCCCCGCCAAGGTTTCAGGGCCTTGGAACTGCACGTCCTCCCTGCATTGCATGACGGGATCTGTAGTGCCACTTGCGTTGCGTTGGCTATATTTTCCCCTTACTCCTGCTGCGTACCTACATGCTTTCTGGCCTCAATTTTCAGACTATCTCTGCTTTTAAGTAGCTTCGTCGTTGTAACTGCCGTGATTGTTGCGGAGTTCCACAGTTTCCCTTACTACTAGCGCAGGACTCTAGCCAGAATCGCCAAGGACAGTGTAACCAACATCCGGCGCGTCCAGTTCGCTGCTCCTCAGGACAGTTTGCCTTAGGGGTTCAACCTTAAATGTGGATTACATTCTTGAGATAACGCGTGTTCAAGTTTGCCTCAGTGTTCACTACGCCGCATAACGCCGACTCTGCGGTACCGGGACCTAGCAGTCCCACCCCCACCCCGGCCTCGCGCACCTGAGGCCCACGCCCCCTCGCCCACCACGGGGCAGCACGCGGGTGGAGGAGTCAGGGCCGTGCGCACGGTCGGCGACAACACTGCGCATGCTCTGTGCGTCGCGCAGGTTTCCGCAGATAAGCGGGCATCTCCGCGGCGGCGTCCGGGGTCTTCAGCAGGGTCGACGTTCCGCCGTTCCTCGTAGTCCTCTGCCTCGGCTGGCAGCGGGCGCTCTTCCGCTCCCCGAGTACCCGGCGGCTCCAGCGCGCCCAGATCTGGCCCCCTGCCCCGCGAAGATGGCTGCCGTACGCCGGGCCCGTAGTTACTGCCGCTGCCTGGTGCGCTTCTCCGACCGAGAACTCTGCTAAGCCTCGCTGCAGCAGGCAGGCAGGAGTAGACCCGGACACCCAGCACCCACCTCCAGGGGGACGGTGCAGAGGGGGCGCGGAGGGCCCCTCGACCGCGGTCGGCGGCCCCGCCAGCATGGTAACCTGGGGAGGGTCGGGGGGCACTGCAGGGGCGGGGGTGAGGTGAGCCGGAGCGGCCGGGCCTGGAGGGAGGGGAGACGAGAGGCTGGGAGGAGTGGAGCGGCCGGGCCTGGAGGGAGTGGAGGGGGTGCCAGCCCTGACGGCTCCCCAGGCTCGTCCTGCTGGACCCCGTGCCAGGCGAGCTCGCAGTGAGGAGGATTTACTGGACAGCGGAGAAAAATGTCCCTCTCCGCTCCCTGGGGAAGTTGAATCGGTCTGGCGTCTCTCGAGGGCGTGTATCAAAAACAGTATCTGAACTGGGGAAGGAACCCTGGCAAACAGAGACACTTGTTGATTGCTTCTCTCCTGGAAAGCCGGCCCCACTCTAAGTCCGTTTCGGCCCCTTAAGGAGTCCTGAGTGCGGGTCGCACCTGCAGCCCGTGAGGCGTCAGTGCCCTGGGTAGGATTTTGGCAGGCGGTCCTGGCAGGATGCGACTGCAGGGCGGTGAGGGCCGGAGCGGCGTTTGTGCGGTGCAAATGGAGAGGCTGAGCTAAGCGCCGCGGTTCTGACAGCGCGAGCAATTCTAGAATAAGTAGTCCTCGGCCCTGTGCCTTTCTTTGGCTTCTAGTAAGTACTTCCTGCACTTGAGAAACTAATCTTTTGTAGGGCTGAATGAATCCAGGACGAAATGATTCCAAACTTACTTGCTCAAATCTGTATCCAAGAGATGGCTGACTTCGTTTATTTCGTTAACCTGAAGGATGGGAAAAGCACCTATCGACTCTGCCCCTGAACTTTGGGGGCTAATTATCTGACCAGGATTAAGCAACTTACCTTTATATTTCATTAATTCCACCCGTGAAATAGTAAAATGTGATGATCTGAGCTGCTGAAGCAAACAGGCGATATTTAGGTCAAACTCAGTTTTGAAAAACAAAAAGCTCTGGGTGATGGCTGAGGACCTGCTTTTTGCAGATGGGTTTTACGTTGAGCAAATGCAGTAAAACCCCAAATGTGATGTTTCCATGATCGTACTGCCAAAAATCAAAGGAATAATGGATTAGAACTCAGAGTTCGGGAGAGAATATGCTGTATTATAGGTTTCCTACTTCTGCATCCTCGAGGTATGCATTAAATGTCTGCATGGCATCTTTTTAACCAATTTAGAGTACCTCTTACCAGCCCGACAGAGTGTAGACTCTGGTACAGCACTAGACCTTTAATATAACCAAACCTGTAAGGTGACTTTTTTTTTTTTTTTTTTTTGGGACAGGCAGAGTTAGAGAGAAACAGAGAGAAAGCTCCTCCCTCCATTGGTCCACCCCCCAAATGGCCGCCATGGCCAGCGCACTGCACTGATCAGGTGCCTCCCCCTGGTCTCCCACGCGGGTGCAGGCACCTAAGCATTTGGGCTATCCTCCCAGGCCACAGCAGAGAGCTGGACTGGAAGAGGAGCAACCAGGACCAGAACCCAGTGCCCATATGGGATGCCGGCGCCGCAGGTGGAGGATTAGCCAAGTGAGCCACAGTGCCGGCCACCTGTAAGGTGACTTTTATGATAACACCCCGCAACACACAGTCACACAGTTTTTACTTGTTTGAGAAAGAATGAAGGGGCCCGGGGCTGTGGCTTAGCGGGTAAAGACACTGCCTGCAGTGCCAGGATCCCATGTGGTCACCAGTTCAAGACCTGGCTGTTCCACTTCTGATCCAGCTCTCTGCTGTAGCCTGGGAAAGCAGAAGATGACCCAGGAGCTTGGGCCCCTGCACCCATGTCTGAGACCCAGAAGAAGCTCCTGGCTTCGAATGGG